TGTGTGTGTGTGTGTGTGTGTGTGTGTGTGTGTGTGTGTGTGTGTGTAGGGACTGGACCTGGGATTTCACTGGTATAGGGAATTCCCAGGTGAGGAAACTCCCACTACTAATGAGGGGTCACACCTCTTACACCACTGACTTTTGCAACTCACAGCTGCAAAGAGTTACCTAAAACCCTGAGATACTTGCTTTTTATTTGTCTGTTAGTTTTTTCTTTTTCTGGAATTTAAATATTTAAGTCCTTGAACTGACCCCAGCAAACAGGACCTGCTGGTCTAACAAAAAAGGCCAGGACACTACAGGATGGCAAACACGTCTTTTCCACAGCCCCCCAACATCCACATCCAGCACTTCCTGATTAAGGTGACTGACACCCCAGTGCACACTCAGGGTCTCTGCTCCACCTTCTTTAGGGCTCAATCCAGCTCCAACATCACCTTGATCAGGTAGATAAAGAAGTCTCCATGTGACAAACAACCCTGGCATCTGCAATGGAGATTGCATCCTCATCACTACAGAAGCACCCCTTCCCCCTCCTCTAAGGCTGGCTGGGACTCACCATCCAGAGCAGACATACTGCTGGTCTACATCAAAATTTTTCATCTCCTGCTTACAGACCAGCAACCGGAGGTCTGCTCCCGATACAGCAGGTCCCAGAAGGTGGCCAACAGGGGGGCACCAGGCATGGTGATGTGGCACCTCAAGAAACTCTGGAGCATGAAACGCCAGGCCTGCTGTGGCCACACCTCATTCAAACACCTTCAGCTGCTACAAGAAGGGTTCCTTGGTCTTGCTGGGAAATACAGAGGCGGGCATGACCAGACTCAGGCACTTGGAGCAGCATCAACTGAGAGCTCCCTGTACACCTGGGGATCCCTCTTCTCCATCCGTAGCATCTTGTCTCCATCCCTTTCTCATCGTTGCTGGTGGCTCCTTTCGTCACTGTGCGTAGGGTGCAGGGTGAACGCGATGGTCAGCAGGATTTGCATCTATTGGTCACCTCATACTGGCACGTGGAGCTCGCAAATTATGTCCTTGAACTCTGGATGGAAATTAAGGGGCTAGCAAAGCTCCAGAGGGCCTCTTGGTTTTACTGCAATTCCCACAGAATAATATGTGGCAACCTAGCACTCATCATTTATACACTCTTCTCTTGGCGTGCTCCATGTTCTCCAGCACTCAGATAGCCGCACAATAATCCCCAACAGGGAGCAGAGATAGGGCAGCCCCACAAAGCTACAGCAGTCAAGCATCTCACGGTGCGGGCAATGCCAGCCACTCTCTCGGGATCTCCAATACAAGTTGCATGCTAACACTGGATTTGTCTACTAGGGAATGAAACACACTGAGGATGCTATGGGCACTCCAGATCTTGGAGTTAGAATAAAGGGAGTCAATCATCTGACTGGCGTGACTTTGTGGCCATCTTGCATTGCTGGTGACTAAATGACTGAAACTGGTAAAAGGATTCATCGATGATATCCCACGGCCACTAGTAGGACAGGTTAAGAGGAGCATTGCCCAGCAGCACGGAGAAGAGACTGTGGTGCTTATAATAAGACTCCAACCTCCACTCCAAAGAAGGACAACCCTGACTTTGGCACATACACATATGAAATCAAGCTCCTTGCACGAGATCAGGAATATGGCATGTGTCCACTTGTGGGGGGTGGCTTCAGCCTCTGGCCAGAGGGATTCTTGGTCCAGCTGTTCCTACAGATGTCCTGCATGTCATGCACCTTATGTCCAATGACACTGCAGACAACCTGGCTGGCTTGCAGCTCATATACGTTTTGGTTGGAAAGGTCAGGTACAGCTTTGTGGAAACACTGAATGAAGTTCTTGACCACTTCCACAAGCACCTGTAGGCTGGGTGCTGCTCATGCTGGCATTCCTAAGTCAGGCCCCACTCTGGGTCTTCTCTGTGCACATTACAGGCTATATCCATGGATTGCATGTGGCCTCAGGCTCATGCTCCTGAGCTAAGCAGGACCCAGAAAGGGCATCAGAGAGCAAGTGAGCAGCCCAGCACACTGAGAGAGGTTAAATGATTTGGCGTACATCACACAGCCAATATGTATCAGAGGCAGGACCAGACACAGGGCATTCTGACTATGAAGTCAGTCTTCTATCCACTACGCCAAGTTTCCTTGTGTGTGTACATTATGCACATGTGTATTGTGTTATGTGTGTACTTATGCGTACACATACATGCACTGTATTTTGTTTACATGTATCTTGCATGTATGTGCTCATAGGTGTTGTGTGCATATAAGGGTGCATATATGTGTTGTGCGTGTGTGCACACACATCTTTAGGAGTATAAATCAACATGAGTAAAAATATTATTGCACCAGTATCAATGTGCTGAGGCAACCAAAACACCCAAAAACTGCTTATCCAAGGGAAAACTGCTAATAGAGCTACACAAAAACCTAAACGTCGGAATTCTATGAACCACAGAAAGAAAATGCTCCAAGATGACAACACCCCAGGAAAGTGTACTAAAATTGTGAGGCAAGCACCCAAAAATGTCAGTAACCAGAAGAACACAATGGCCAGTTGTGAAGACAAGAATGGTAAAGGTAGAATTCTGATGCATCATGTGATTGCTAAGAGATGATACCCGTATAACAGGGAGATCCTGGAGGGAAAATGGACAGTGGGAATTATCTCGCTGGACGGGATATGGGAGACGACACCTGGACTTGGGGTCAGGAGGACCAGCATCGATCCTGGCTCTGACACTAAGCGTACGTGACCACCTACAGATGCATCGTTTGATCTGTCTCCTTGGCTGGATCCTCCTTCACATGGCCCCCCATAACTGTAGGTGTCCCTCGGGGCTCTGTCCTGCATCTTTGCTTCTCCCTCTCTAGTAAATCTCATCAGCTCCCGTGGATTTCATTACCACAGAATTCAATTTCAGCCTAATGCTTTTATAGTACATGAACCAGTAACAATTTCTAGGCTACCCTTCAGAGTTTAAACCAAAAACTAAACAACTCAAGGATGAAACAAACAGTAACAATCTATTAAAGAAAGGGATCGCTGCTAGGGAGGGTAGGCAAAGCTCCTGAGCAGCCAGCTCTTCATATAAAGCTATTTAAGTCTTAACTAAGTGACACAGCTCTAAATGAGGCTGCTTCTAAATGGGCTAACCTACAGAAGAGCTATTACGAGAAATGGGATAGTAATGCCAAGTCAGAAAATGGACTGAACTTACGACTCAAAACTCAACTGCAAGAGTTTGAGAGAAAGTTCTAAAGGGCCTGTAAAATATTCCACTAATTCTGTGAAATGTCAAGGGAAAAAGGGAGGATATGCAAACTGATCATAACAATATAAAAACATATCTATGTAAACAAAAAAAAGAACTGAGATATAATTTATAGTTTAATGTTTATTAAGTTTGTTTTTTCCTATAAAGTTAATATTTTTTAATTCCCAAAAAAACCCCTATTTTATTATCTGGTTACATTCTGCATCTAATAAATTCCATAAACACAGAAAGAACTCAAAATCAACACTTATAAATTTCATAAAATCCTACATGGAAAAAAAACCTGACATGCTAGATTAATGTTTAAAGCAACCACCACGGGTCACAGATTTATATAGGCCAGGAACGTCATCATTTCACGTGTGAAATCTGCACGGGGGTTTAAAATCCCTCAAGTGAAAATATGTAATAATCTACACTTGTGGTAATCAGATAAAATAACCATGAGAAGACCAATGTGAACCGTACGGAGGTCGGTAGTTGTCTCAGATAACTCAGGAGTCATGCATGCAATCACCATTAGCCAAAAGAGTCACATGACTCCTGAATGTTCTGCAGATTCCGGTATAGTATTCTAACACTGCACCCCAAGGCCTCAACATGCAACGGTCCACAGAGGAAACCGCCCCCATACAAACAGACAGCCTCCATCTAAGTGTCACCGAACCAGACCAATCCCAAGAGCATATAAAGACAAAATCTGGCCTCACCAGATAAAGATTCTCTTTGTCCTGAAACGCACAGTGCAACTGAGGGATCCAGGGACTTGCACCCCGAGATAAGATGCTTCGTTCTTCTTCAAAAAATAAGACCTGCAGAGGAAAAAACACTTTTTAAGCAAACACATTCTCAAAATGGAATTCCCAAGGCTGTTCCTCTGCCTTCCAACGCACACACCTGCCCCAAATTCTATAAAGATCTCATTGCCCTAAAATAAGAGGGGGGCAGAGCGGATGATCCAACAACATGGCCTCACCGTTCCTTCCAACTACTATCTTTTCTCCTTTTCTTAGACAAGTTCCCTGAAACCATTGGCACTCTCCATGTCCTTCCCATCGTTTACCTCTTTACCTGACCCTAGTAATCTGTCTTCTTTTATTCAAATGTTTACTAATGCACAGACATAAGACACTGTACCTCCAGTACACACAAGGCATTCCAACATCACCAGTAGGCTGCCAGAGCTCTCCCTAAAATCAATCAGCCTGGTATATTCCACTAAACCTCCACTTACTACTTTGCTCTTCTTGGCCAGAAGGGCAAGACTCATTCCAAGTCTTTGCATCCATTTTTTAAATGAAATCTTCATTTGTTTTGTTATCTTGCTTTTTTTTTTTTACATTACCTTCATTCTGAATGAGGGCCCTCCTCCCTCCCCAGCCAGCACCACTTTAACACAAAATTTAAAAGGAGAAAAAAGCAGTTCAGCAAAACTAACCAACACATCATCGATTGAGCCTGCAGCAAATGTAATGTTTCATAACTAGAGTTGTCCCCCCCCCACAAAGAAGGAAGGGAAGTTCATCTTCTCATCTGTCATCTCATCGGCCACTCTAATTATAGATCATTCAATTTTGTTCTGTTCTTTCCACTTAAACCGTAGCACTCACTATATATCGTTTTCTTGGACCTGTTTATATACCTCCGCATCAATATATGTCTTGCAATGTTTTTCTCAATTCTTTGTATTTATCATTTTTTACAGGGGAATAACACTCCATTATATTCACATACCACAATTTATTTAGCCATTGACCAGCAGATGGGAAGCTACTTTATTGCCAGACCTTGCTACCACAAAAAGAGCTGCTACAAATATTTAGTGTCTTCGGAACCTTTCTGCCTCCCTTTGGAACTCAAGTGCAAAATTTTCTATTTATCTATTAAATTTCATTTTATTAGATACAACCCAGTGTGCTAGCCTTCCAAGATCCTTTGAAGTCCTCTGTTATTCAACATGCTAGCTACATCTCCTAGTTCTGTGTATCTGACAACCATTACATCTATGCTTTATCCAAGACAATGATAAAAACAACACGGGGCCAAAAACAGCTCCCTAGGGTATGTACCACTCAAATCCACCTTCCGAGATGATAGCAAACCATTAATGACTATACTGTACGTCTCTGTCCAGCCAGCCTGTTCCAACTCCATCTAACCGTACCATCATCTAAGTTAGAGGTATCAAACTCACAGCCCTAGAATGCTGCCTAAAGTATATTAAAATGTAATTGGGAAATGTTTAACAAAATAAGTAAAAATACAACCTAACAAATGTTAATTTGTGGTTTTCTAAGTCAATAGGAAGTCTGCAAGGATCTGTTTAGCACTGATCTAAAGCCCATAGCTCTCCATCTTTTTCACACAAATATTCACTTCTTAGGAAATTAATCCACTGGTTTCAATTAACCAGCTAACACCTGTATGTGTCCGACTCCCAAATCCAAGAAAACCTACTTACCATCTTCTCCATATAGCACTACTCCCACCTGCCAAACTTCATACACACTCTTCTTCTTACCTGGAATGCCCTGCACTCCCCAATTCTCTCCCCTGGATCAAATCACTCAGCTCTAATCAATCCAACCGCCAGTCTACATTCATGTATGCCCTCCGACATTAGTTCACTAATTATTCTTCCTTTGTCTAAGGCAGTCAGTTAGCTGTGCAACTATAACTTTGTGTTTATTTATCTTCATACATTTTTGCCTATGTTTTTCTATCACTCCCACAAAGATTATAAAAAAAGGCTTAAAAATAGTAATCGTATTTTCTACACACTTTACAGCTTGCAAACAGGGCCACAGCAGCACCTGGAACAAAGGACATTCCAACCCTCCTGGCTAAAAAGCCCATATCTCAACTTACAAACGGAGGCCACCTCTCTTGGAACCCTAACCCTAACCCTATTAATTTACTCAAATATCTGTCTATAGACAGCAGCTTTGTTTACAAGAACTACCAAAACAGAGAAGATACAGCTTCCTATCAAGCAAGAGATTACCTGGCCACATAATAAACACAAATTATATTTAACTTCCCCGAATGCCTGTTAAATCACACACCTCCCCAACAAACAAAAACAAACAATATCTAACTGAGCTGACAAGACTTTTCTAGCTCTAAAGAAGATGGCTACATGAATCATTTGTAATGACATCCCCTGTTCTACAGGCCAAAGAGATTACATAACAAAATGAAATGACAGGGATGTTTACAAAGGACCCTGGTGGATCTGTGATCCTTGAAAATAGCTAAAGAATATTCAGGAAGAAGAAATTAGGAACTGAGAAAGCTTTTTGCCCATACAACTACTACTATCTAAGTTCATGAGGCAAAATCTGCTTTGCTGGCCTCAGGAACCATCATTCCATAATCATCAGTCTTTTAAAGTTTTGTTATCAAATAGAAAACTATACATAAAGAATGTTCATACCTCTTCCTGTGCCAACAAAGCCCTCTTCTTCATCACTTTCATGGCGTAGATGTCCCCAGTGACTTTCTCCCTCACTACCTGCACTTCAGCAAAGTGACCACGGCCCACCAGACTTTTTACTTCAAAGTCCTTCAGGCCAGGCGGAAGTTCCCGTAGTTCAGCGATGGTCTCTGAATCTGCATGAGATGGAATAGTTACTTCTAAATAAGCAAGGTGATTGAAACAAATATCTCTTTATTAAAGGAGAAAATGCTATTAGGTGTTTCCAGGCTGTCAAAAGATAGTCACTTTACTTCCTCATCAAAGTCATGAATAAAATAAAGCATATAAAATAAGTATAAAAGTGTTTTCATATGATGTTATGTTAAAACTACTAAGTGTTCCCAGAATTCAAAAGAAGTTTCCATGGCAGCTATAATTTGAACCCCACATAGTCAGAAAATAGACAAGGAAGACACATCACGCTTTTTTCCCTTTCTGTCTGTAGGCTGAAACACAATATTTAAACGAATACTCATACCAGCATTTTGTCCAGTTTAATACTATTACCTAAGAAATGTAGTTTCTACCAATGTTTATCTTTCACAGTAAGTTTCACTCTGCTTCTACCTTCTTTTCACTCAGGCTAAATATGTTTTGCTCACTAGTCCAGAAGTTTTGTCCTCCCTGAGTCACTTTCAATAATTCCTCCCTCTCTTTTTGGGGAGGGAGGAAGGGAGGGAGAAATGAAACCCTTATTCCAAGCCACCAAAACGTATTTGTTATTTGCAATATAGGAATTGGCTAGCAAATCTCTCTACTCACTGACATCTACCTCTTTCCTGAACATATTCCTAATTCTTTCCCTGAGTCTAGTCTTTTATCGTGAGATTGAAAACATACATGATAAAGCTTGAGTTTCAGCCTGCTAGGCTACCATCTGGCCTAGCAACTTTGGTATGTCCTTATCCAGAATGCATAGCTACAGAAGCATCCTTCCTTCTTTTTGTTTCCAACTATTGTCACTTTACTAACCCAACAGCTCAAATCACCAGACAGCATAGCTGGGGTTTGGGTGGTGGTGGGGTGGACACCACCAAGGAGCTTTACCTGAGACGCCACACTTCATACTCCAGTGGGGCTCCAGGCTCTGCTCAAATTGAAGCCAAAAAAAGGGAAAGATGAGAAGGATAAGTAGGGAGCCTGCCACCTGCCCCATATGAATGGCCCTAGAAGTCGCCTGGTCACATTTGCTTAGCTCCCCGCTTGGGCCTTTTCTAAGGATTTTTCAAGCCCTTCTTTCTGAAGACTGTCAAAGAGCCTGAAATGGGTCTTCATCTGAGGTTAGAAACCAGAGCCCCATGCCAACACACTGCACTTTTTTCTTTAGTTTTTCATTCCTTGGAAGCTAAAAAAAAAAACAAAAAAACCACATATACATGTATATTTCTCAGTGCCTATACTTTGGTGCTAGTTCCCAGAAGAAAACCCCATCTGTGAAGCTTGCTCTGTTTATCAGCGCCCACAGTAAGGTAAGCTAAGTTAGCTAATACACAGTGGGCACCTGCTGAATATACATTCACAAGGTTAGTTCTCAATTAGCTGCACTAAAGAAGAGGAGCAGTAACATAAGTAATCAAAACACTGTGTGACCCTGGGCAAGTTACTTAACCCCGACTGCCTCACCAAAAAAAAATAATAATAATAATGATAAAATAAAAATAAGTAATCAAAACAGCAGATACTTCAGAATCAGTACTACTGGATCTTGGAATAGATTATCAAGTTGGGGGGGGCAGATTCCGGTCCGCCTTTCACTCCCATCCTCCTTCCAACTCAAAAGTGCTGAGGACTCACTTCTACATCTATTGCCTACAATTTCAATCCCAGCCAGCCATCCTGAAAACACTGGGGCTTAGTCACGACAACAACCTAGCAGGTTTATGTGCCTGCACCAGAATGAACACATAACTAGTAGAAAAAATAACTCAAAAGGACTTCTACTCATGGTGAATCAGAGTACTCTCTTCCGCATGTAACATTTTCAGCGTGGTTAACCGCTGCACCAGAAATACTATAACACAACACTTTCACAAACAAAATCCAAATCTATCTGATATTTGGGAAGGCCATGTCATTTCTGTGGGCAAAGCATTGATCCTTTGTTCATAATCATGATATATCCCATGCCATCCTAATTTCCCAAGTTCCTTTCAAATCAAGGGTTTGAGTTTTGTATTACTTTGTATTTGTATTTGTATTCACTGAGACACACGTCTTTGCAATTTTTCCATTGAACCTGATTTGATCCTTGCCTGCCCATAATAATAACCTCTCTTACACACGGGACAAAGCTCTAAATGCCTGAGTCTAAATGAACTTGGCACTGATTTGATGTCAATGCTCACTGACTCTGTCAGCTTCATAGACCAGCCAACAGCTTTTCTCAACAAAGCCAGCATCCTTTTGGGATTCTGAGGGCTCCCCTAAACCCTACCCAAACTTATCTCTCTTCACAAAAAGGTTCTTTACACAGTTAATGTTAACAAACTAAAGTAGTAAAAATAAGCCAAGTATAATTAGATACTTGATAACGGCTCTACGTACTCCCAGTGTTCTCCAGAGTCTCCAGAACCCTCCATCAATAGCCCCAAACTCTTGTAAGCCATGGTGAGTGGGTGTTGCCTCAAGGCTCCATCCTACACGCTTTCTCACTTGGTAATACCATTCCCTCCCTTGACTTCAATGATCATAACACATATAATCTCCAATCTAGACAGATAGAGCCCTAATCTCTCACCTGAGCTTCAGCCACACATCACCAGCTGCCTGGTAGATAGCTAGAATCAGACGGCCCTTAGACATCTCCAATTCGACATGCACCAAACAGGAGTCACTAGCTCCTCCTGCCCTCGTCTGAATTCCCCTGTTACTAGTCATCCTCCCAGGCCCCAGGTTCACAACTTTGGCGTCATCCTCAAATCCTCACTCTCACTCACTTTTGCCAAATCTTCTCATTTCTACTTTCACACCCGCTCTGGTCTATGTCCCTTCTTTCTGCTCATGCATACCACACCCCTGGCTCAGGTCCCTGCCATTCCTTCTTGCCTGGACTATCACTATAGCCTACGATTGTCCTCCCTGCCTCAATCCCACCTCCACCAAAGGCCCTTTTCCTAAAGCATCGGTCTACACTTGTTACCTCTACACCGTAAATTCCAGTGGCTCTCTATTACCTCTAGGATCACACACAAACTCCTCTGCTTGGTATTTCCATCCCTCCCCAATGTGGTCCCTTCTCTAGCTTTCCCTCTCTATCTTACATTTTCCTCCCTCCCACATACTCGCTAATGCAGGCTGATCTATCTCTCTTCTCCCTTCTCCATGCCCTCGCACTGGCCTCCCCATGGCCTGGAAGGTACTTACAGGATCATAAATCTCAAGGTGGAAGAGAACTTAGCAACCACTGAGGACCAAAGAGATTAAGTGACTTTCCCAGGATCACACAGCTACTAAGTATCTAGAGCAGGAATTGAACCCAGGCCTTCTTGACTCCACATCCAACACTCTATCCACCACGTACCATGCCACCTCTATTCTTTCCATAACTGTCTCTGAGAATCCCTGGTTTCCTTTGAGACACAAAGCCTTTCCTGATTCACCTAGCTGTTAGTGCCCTCCTTCCCCAAACAACCTTTTATTTATTTTACATAAGTTCCATATACATTTATAGATGTACATGTTGTCTCCAGTTAGAAAATAAGCTTCTTGGGGCAGCTAGGTGGCGCAGTGAATAGAGCTCTGGCCTTGGAGTCAGGAAGAGCTGAGTTCAAATCCAGCCTCAGACACTTGACATTTACACTGTGACCCTGGGCAAGTCACTTAACCCCGATTGCCTCACCAAAAAAAGCATAAAAATAAAAAAATAAGCTTCTTGAAGGCAGGGACTGTTTTACTTTTGTCTTTTGTATCCTCGGCAAGGTGATCGACACATAGCCAGTATTTAAGAAATGCTTGCTGATTGATTGGTTTATGGCATTTAAATACCCATAGTTTGAGAAACACTGTAATGGAGATGGAGAAATGCAAAAAGGCACAATCAAAATACCGATAACAAAGAAATGCCTTCGCAAATAGATCCTTTGACACATGCAGGTAAGTATCAACACAGCCAGGTGTTGTCTCCTTCATTCCACCTCCACTGTCATTTCTATCCGAGTTCAAAAGCTGGGAACACCCAGAAATTTATACCAACAATTTGAGAGAAGACTAAATATTACCCTTTCAATATTTACATTAACCATCCTGGATGGAAATGCTAAAAGCACCCCCCCCCAGCGTAACCCCACTAAGAAGTTGCCTGTGCCGGTCGCTAGTCACTTCTGCTATCACCAAGCAAGACTTAAGGACCCGAGTAGCCTTTGATTAAATGTGGATGAAAAACTCAAAACTAATAAAGACTGCCAAGAGTAACAGCAGGGAACCAAGATCCAGATACTCACAAAATTCTTCCTCTCACCCTACTCCTACCCTCCCATTTTAGAACAAAAATATCTAAGAGAGGGGTGGAGGTGGGGGAAATTATGTGAATAAAGGCAGTACCCAAATAACCAAAAATATAGTTTTAAAACCAAGGATAATTAGCCAATTTAAGAACAATTTTGAAATTAATTCTAACAAAGAAAAAGTACCCCAGACTTACACTTTCTGACAAAGTTGCTCACATGCTTAATCTTCATTAGGGCAGGGCTGCTGCACTCTTCAAAGAAAACAAAAAGGGCATCCAGTATCCCTTCCCGGGAGAGAGGAGACATCTGCTGTTGAGTCATGAAGGGTGTTTTACCCTAAAAACAGCAAACAACAGATGGAGTACTAGTCAATAATGAAAAGCATGGATCAATAACATCCCCATAAAGTAAATTACACAGTCCCAACAAAAGATAACTGTATGTGCCATACTAACAGAACAATCTTGCGGGTTTGCTCTTTAAAACATCAATAGCCATCACATTCAGGAAGACAGCTGAAGATAGAAGTAAATGTAAATGATGAAAATGGATTTCTGAAGCCAGGACCTGTGGTAGAACACCACAACTAGACTACTAATCCAGCTATGCTTCTGACTGTAAATTTAGCATTTTATCTTGGACCCAACATTCTCCAAAACATGTCTCACTGAGCTCTGCGGTAGTAATGACTACTTTTTTCACATAGACAAGATCCTAGAGGCTTTATCAACGCAACTTCTTCTCACAGCCTAAGAAACAGAATGATCAGGGGGCCACCATGCTTGCAGGTGGTCACAGAGTCACAGAGGAACACAATACAATGGAAAGAGAAGTAGATTTAGAGGTGGGGGGGGTGGCACGAAGCTAGGTGGTGCAGTGGATAGAGCACCCGCTCTGAAGTCAGGAGGACCTGAGGTCAAATCCAGCCTCAAACCAAACACTTAACCCCAATTGCCTAAAAAAACAAAACAAAGCAAAGCAAAACAAAACAAAAAAGAGACAGGGGACCTTGGTTCAAAACCTGGTCCCACCATTAACCTGTCTGAGCCTCAGTTTCCTTATCTACAAAAATGAAAGGGTTAAAGGATGGCCCCAAAGGTTCACTCCAACTCTAAATCTATGACTCCTCTCAGTGCCTCAGTTATTTTGTCTGGCTAGACCAGAGGATCTTAACCTTTTTTTATGCTTCAGACCCCTTTGGCAGTGAAGCCTGTGGACTCCATCTCAGAAAAATGTTTTTGAATGTATAAAATAAGATATGGGATTACAAAGTAAACTAATTCTATAGAAATATAGTTATCAAATATGTTGAAGAAACAAGTTCATGGGCCCCAGGTCAATAACCCCTAGCCTGGCATCTTGCAAGAACAGTCCTACATAAAGTTAAGGTAACATTACAGATTTGAGGCTCCTTTTTAAAGAGCTTGGGAGAACATCAAAATTCCAATGCTCTGTATAAACCTCATTAAAACAAAAGTTTCATGAACAGAAATACCATTTTTTCTTATTTATTAATGTAAAACAAATGTTACATGTTTTGTTTACAAACAGAAAATATAATGGAGATAACTAGAAGAAAAAAATTGGAAAATGAACCAAAATGATACAACAAAGGTTCAAATATTGTCCTAAGCTCTCCTGATGTAACATATAATCACATTAGAAAAAGGATATAAAATATTTTAAAACAAATTTGGAATTCTTTCAAAATCTGTTTCTCACGTTTAGAGATTTATAAACTGAATGGGAGCCTGTGTGGTACAGTGGATGGAGAGCCTGCCTCAGAGTTAGGAAGATAAAGAGTTCAAATTCCATTTATCTAGTCAGTCAACACACAAACTAAGAAGTTGCCCTTAATGCCATGTTCTTAAATCCCTATTCCTTTGGAATTGAATTAGCTATTCTTCTCAGCTTTGTGTCTTCCATAAATTTAAGCCTTCATTGAAGGCTTCATCCAAGACACTGATAAAAAATGCCCAGCACAGATCCAGGAGCCCTTCATCTAAGACCTCCTTCCAAGCTGTCATTGAACCATCAATGACTTTTGAGTCCAAATTTTCAACCAGTTCCAAATCTACCTACTATTCCATCATCCAGCTCCAATCTCTCCATCTCATCCACAAGAGATACAAGAACAGCACAAAAAACTCAATTTTTTTGCTGCTGTTTAGTCATTTTTCAGTCATATCTGACAATTCATGACTCCATTTGGTGTTTTCTTGGCAAAGATACTGGAGTAGTTTGCCATTTCCTTCTCCAGCTCATTTTACAGATGAGGAAACTGAGGCAAACAGGGTGAAGTGACTTGCCCAGGGTCACACAGCTAATAAGAGTCATGAGGCTAGATTTGAACTCAGGTCTTCCTGACTCCAGGCCCAGCCTGGGGGCGCTCTACTCGCTGCGCCACCTAGCTGCCCTGTCAAATATTTTGTTCTACTCTAAATGAACTATACCAACACCCTTCCCTTCATCTTCCAGTCTAGTAAACCTATCAAAAAAGGAAAAGAGGTAAGTCTGGCACGAGCTGCTCTTGATAAAGGCATGCTGGTCCTTTGTGATCACTCTTCTTTCTTCTAGATGCTCACTAATTGCTCCTTTAATAATAATGATACCTTCCAGAATCATGACAGGAATCAAAATCAGATTCATTGGCCCATTCATTGGCTCTTCTCTTGTTTCAAAACTGGGATATCTGTTCTTCTTCAGCCTTGTTAAACCTCTCCAGCTGGCTCTGCAATTAAATCTGCCAAGTCTTTCTGTACTAAGAATACACTTGGTTGGAATAGGGTTACTGGGAATCACCAATGGCAGCTAAGGTCTTTCTTAGGGTCTTGAGTATCAGCTTCCTAGTAGCTATTTTTGTTCTGTCCTTTTCAGTCCAAAAATCACTCAAAGAAACAAAGAAACAAAATAGGCAGCAGGCATCTCTATCATCTCCCATTCATTTTCATGGTGTTCTCCACCCCAAAGGATTGATCCTTTTCCTCATAGAAATGAGCCACACTTTTCTATTCACCTGGTTACCTGTCCTTGTTACAATCTACTATGACAGGAAGGAAGGAAACAAGCATTTATTAAGCTCCTACTACGTGCCAAGCACTATGCTAAATGCTTTACAAATATTATCTCATGACAACCCTGGCAGGCAGATGACGTTATTATCCTTATGTTATAATGGAGGAAACTGAGGCAGAGAAGTTAAGTGACTTGCCCAGGTCACAAAGCTAGTTAAGTGTCTAAGATTTGAACTCAGCTCTTCCTGATTCCAGGCCCAGCACTTTATCCACTGCACCATCTAGCTGCTTCTATACATGTCTTTTCAGAAACACATGTTGGTCAGTGAGTTCCTTATACATTCTCTTTGGTCTCTTTAGACAACTCCGCCTTTTTTGACTTTATGAGAACTATTCTGTTTGTGCTTCCAGAATGTAGTTCTTGTGAGCTTCCTATACCTCCTGGGCAGATTTCCCCTGTAGAATTTTAGCTGCTGGGGCCCTATATATATCCTATCGGCAAACCCTTTGAAATCTGCCCTTCTGAAAGCTAGGATGCACCTTATGTCTACATTACCTCCAAATTCCTTTCATTTCTATCCTAGTTCTTATTTATTGATAAAAACAAGCCCCAGAATAGACTGTGAATCCTTATGCCAATGACATCACAGAGTCAGTTGTTGCCTCTGGGCATCACCACTCCAAGGATCTTTCATCACCCTGGGGATTCATCCCACTGACATGAATCACAATCTCTCTGTGGCTGACCAGTAGGTCTTCAAGAGTCACTGCAGCTTAAAAATTCATCATCCTTTGGCCAGCTTGATGATGGTGGTCTCCCAACTTAGCTAGGCAAATCCTCCGAGAGAAAAAATAGTCCTTCCTGGGCCTACTCTAGAAGCCTTTCTAGCTTGGGAACTCTGCCAGAGCTCAGGCTCAAGAGGCTGCCTCCATGCCACAAGACATCAGAATAGGATTTCAATACTATTTATAAAGATACATACATACAGATACACACACAGACACACACACAGACACAGACACACACACACACACACACACACACACACACACACACACACACACCCTTACTAAGGATGTTTAATATTTCATTAAACATACTAATACTTTTGAACACGTCGACTTACTGTACAAAGGTCTCCACTTTAAAAGAATGTGCTCTTTTGAACAAATCAGCAACAGCTGTTATTATTTGGACTTTTGGTCAGTCCGTGGAAATGACATCACAGACATGCCAATGAGATTCATTAAAACAAGATTCTATCTATATTAAATTACTCTAAGGTACTATGGGCCCTTTGTACAGCAGGCCTGGCAAATTTTTACATAGGCATATATATAAAGTGCTAGAAATGATACAAAGAACTCATTTTAGGAGCAAATTTAAAACATAATTCTTGAACATACATTAAAAACTAGTAGCTACAATTACTCATATCTAGGCCCACTGTTAGTTCTTAGGAATACAGGATCTAGAAATGACCCTTAGGGGTAACCTAGGCCAATCTTATTTTACAGAGGAGGAGACAGGAATGAGAAGTGACTTATCCAAGGTTAAACAAATAAATCAGAGAGTCAAAATTTGAACTCAAGCCTCTGTCTTCTAATCCAATGTTCTCTCACATCACCTTCTCCTTCCTTTCAAAACGACAAAAATAACCAGTCATACTTCTTGGTGAGCAAAAAGAGCATCATTATCTCCACTTCACAAAAGAATAAACTGCGGCTCAGAGAAAAGGCATCATTTGCCCGGTCGTTCAGCTAATTAGTGTTCAGATCTGGTATTAGAAGCCCAGGCTCCAGATTCCAAGTCCAGCACTCTTCCCATTAAATCACAAGGCCATGATTCTTGGTTGAGAGAAACACAGCTGCGGGCCTACGACAAAAATGGAGATAACAGGTAGAGCGCTGGAAGTCTTACCTGGAAAAGAAGATTCAGCTTGGAGGCCCGGCTACCGATGGGCTCAGGTTCACTTGGGGCCAATGGGCTGCGCACGCCATACTTAAACTTCAGCATCTCCTGAAGAACAGAGAGGTTTTGAGACAAGTTTGTGTTTAACAGACATGGTCCTTAGGATTCATATCCATAACAGACAGTGTCAGAGCCAGAAGGTATCTTAGAGATAGAATGGCAATTACAGAAGGGACCTGTTAGAACACAGAACACCAGCAAAGGGAAGTTAATGTTTACAAGGGTGGATGACAAAGCTGGAAGGGACCTTGAGAACACAAAACATCAGAGGTGGGAGGGACCTTAGAAGACTGAATGTCAAGGCTCCACCTCCTCCAGCCTCTTACCTAAGACCCCTGTCTCGTCCTTTACAGAAAAAATTGAGGCCATTTGCCATGGGCTCCCTCTTCTCCCCTCTTCCTCATCTCTTATCACTCACGTGCTTTCGGCCACTCTCTCCTCCTTCATCCCTGTCTTGAATGACATGGTCTCACTCCTTACCAAGGCTAACCCCTCTACATGTTCAAGTGACCCTCTGCCAACCCATTTCCTCCAAGAGATTACCCTCTCTGGCATCCTCACACTTCCACGTTTTCATTTTCTCCTCTCTAGTGGTTCCTTCCCTACTACCTACAAATATGCCCATGTCTGCCCTCCCAGGCAGAAAAAAACCTATCCCCAATAGCTATCATCTTCTATCTCTTCTGTCCTTTGTAGCTGAACTCTTAGAAAAAGCTGTCTACAATGGACACCTCCACTTTCTCTCACCTCACTCTTTTCTTAACCCCTTACAATATGACTTCTGACCTCATCATTCCACCAGTACTGCTCTCTCCAAAGTTACCAACAACCTCTTAGCTGCCAAATTCAACGGCCTTTCCTCAATCCTCATTCTCCTTGACCCCACTGCAGCCTCCGACACTGTTCATCGCCCTCTCCTCTTTGATTCTCTCTTCTTTCTAGGATTCCAGGACATCACTCTCTCCTGTTCTCCTACTTATCTGACCACTCCTCTGTCTCCTCTGCTGTATCCTCCTCCAGATCACACTCTTATTTCATCATGGGTGTGCCACATGGTTCTGCCCTGGGTCCTCTTCTTCTGTATGACTTCACTTGGTGATCATCAGCTCCCACGGATTTAACCATCATCTCTGATGATTCTCAAATCTACCTATACTGCCCCAAGCTCTCTGCTGACCTCCAATTTCCCATCTCCAACTATCTTTCAATCACCTCCAAATGTCTGTCCAATAGACATCTGAAACTCAACTCATTACCAAAACGGAACTCATTACCTTTCTCCATAAACACACCCTCTTTGACCTTCCTACTACTGTTGAGGGCATCACCAATCTCCCATCCCTCAGGAGTCATCCTGGACTCCTCACTCTCTCAGCCCTCCCCCCATACCCAAACTGTTGCCAAGACCTGCCAATTTCATCCTTGTAACATGGCACAGTGGATAAAGAGCTGGGCCTAGAGTCAGGAAGACCTGAGAATTAAATCTAACTTTCTATGGGAAGCCTTTGCTATCCCCCTTAATTCTAGTGCCTTCCCCTAAGTTAATTCTTTCCGACTTATTCTGTGTATAGCTTGCTTTGTATATATTTATTTATATATGTCTCCCCCATTAAAATGTGGGCTCCTTGAGGGCAGGGACTGTCTCTCAACTCTTTTTTTTTTATACCTAGTGCTTAGCACAGTGGCTGACACATAGCAGATGCTTAAAAAATGATGATTACTGGAAGGGGGCTGGAAGGGGGCCTTAGAACATGGAACTACAGGGCTAGGAGGGATGTGAGTACAGATGTCAGGTGGGAGGGGCCTTAGAACAGGGGAAGACAGGGCAGGGAGGGGCCTTAGAACAGGGGTTGTCAGGTGGGAAGGGGCCTTAGAACAATGTCAGAACTAGAAGGGGTCTTAGAACATGGAATGACAAGGCTAGGAGGGATCTCAGAACAGGGGATGTCAAGTGGAAGAGGCTTTAGAACAGGGGAAGACAGGGCTGGGAGGGGGCTTAGAACAGGGGATGTCAGAGCAGGTGAAGGAGGCCCTTACAAAAACTTCCTCCGCTCCATTTCCCCAACACTCCCCGGAGATTCCGCCCCTCACCTCCCCCCCCCCTCCCCCGCCCCCCCCCCCCCCCCCCCCCCGGCACAGCCCCCCCCCCCCCCCGTTCCCATCTCTAGCAGCTGCCGCAGCTAAGATGAAGAGGGGCCCCCCCCCGAGAGAGCGCTGCGCATGCGCACTCATCCACTAACCCACCACCACTTTCTCCTCAGACACCCGAGGGATCCCCCGTCCTCACCCCAACGCGGGAAAAGGGAGGCCCGACAAAACTGAAGCAAGGGTGGCCCCTTCTCGCCTGAGCAAAAGGAAGAAACAATTCGGGCGAGCAGAGGGCCTATACTCACGGTCCACGCACTCCCACGCCTCGCAGCACCGCACCGCAACGCACCGTCCCCACCCTCCTCCGTCCCGCCTCAGCGTTTGAATTGCGAGGCGGAGCCGACCAACAGCCCGGGAGAGGGCTGAGCGCGGATCCTCTTTGCTTTCTCCAATCATTTCTCCACGTCCTCTTGATCGACGGCTCAGAAGGCCCCGCCTCCGCTCTCTGCCTGCCCAATGGAAATTTCTGAAGTCTTAAAAGGGAGGAGCCAATCACTTTATTTTCCTTTCTACTGTAGACCAATGAATGGGCCAGCTGGGGTGGGCGGGGCGGAAGGGAGCGGCGGCTGTTCAAAGTTTGAAAGAGGCTGTTGAAGGCTTGCGAATGTTGAGGATTCTCTCGTTCTTTGCGGGTCGCCTGCTCCTGGGGATATACTAACCAAACGTTCTTAGCCTCTCGCTGTAACGATCTTCGTTCTAAGGGTCACTTTAACCACAACAATAATTACTCCTATCTCTTTTACGTAGCATCTAATGGTTTGCAAAGTGGTTTGCAAATGTTAATAGCTAATAATAGCAAACATGTTCCCCTACTAGACTACAAATTCCATGAAGACAGGAGTTGTTTCTTAACTAAACATTCTATTTCCTGATGAGCAGGCAGATGTCAGAAATTCCTGGAAAGACTTGTATGAACTGATACAGAGTGAAGTGAGCAGAACCAGGAGAACGTTGTACACAGCCGAGGTGTGCAATGACCAACTTTGACAGACTTAGCCCTTCTCAGCAATGCCATGATCTAAGACAATTCCAAAAGACCCATTATGGGAGATGCACAGCCTGGTGCTGTGCCAAACGCTTTATACTTAACAGTGCATTTCAAAACCAGGAGAACATTTCATGCAGTAACAGCAATGTTGTAACAATAATCAACTGTGAAAGACTTAGCTACTCTGACCAATACAAGACAATGAAAAAATGCCATCCACCTCCAGGGAGAGAACTGATGAACTCTTTGAGTGCAGATTGAAGCATTTTTTTCCTGCTTTCTTTGTTTTTCCTGGGTTTGTTGTAGTTGTTTTTGCATGGTGCCTAATGTGAAAATGTTTTGTATGATTTCTTATTACAATGGGTATCATATTTCTTGTCTTCTTGGTGGGTGGAGGAGGCAGAGAATTTAAAACTGAAAATTTTTTTTTCAATTTTTTAGCTAATTTGATCGTCGCAAGAACCCTGGGAAGGTTGGAGCTATTATTGTCACCATTTTACAGGTGTGGAAACTGAGGCAAACAAGTTAAGTGATTTGTTCAGTCACCCAGGTCTGAGGACAAATCTGAACTCAGGTCTTCCTGACTCTAAGCCCAGTGCTCTATCCACTGAGCCACCCAGCCACCTATGACCCTGTGACCTCCTTGGGCTTCCATTTCCTTCCCTGTAAAATAAACAGTAAGACTAGATGATATCTGAAGTGCATTCAGACCCTATCACACTATGAAGAAGATCATATTTATTAAGAGCCTATTGTATACAGATAGCTTTTCTCTGCACTGGAGGAAATATAATGTTTACACTTAACAATATTTTTTCAAATTATATGTAAAGATAGCTTTTAACATTCATTTTTGTAAGGTTATGAGTTCCAAATTTTTCTCCCTCCCTCCCTTCCCTCCCCCTTCCCCAAGACAGCAAGTAATCTGATATAGGTTATATACGTACAATCATATTAAACATATTAAACATATTTCCACATTAGTCATGTTGTGAAAGAAGAATAAGAACAAAAGGGAAAAGCCATGAGAAAGAAAAAACAAAAAAAAAAGGGAAAATAGTGTGCTTCAATCTGCCTTCAAACTCCATAGTTCTTTCTCTGGATGTGGATAGCATTTTCCGTCATGGGTCTTTCGGAATTGTCTTAGATCATTGCATTGCTGAGAAGACCTAAGTCTATTAAAGTTGGTCATCACATAACGTGGCTGTTACTGCGTACAATGTTCTCCTGGTTCTGCTCACTTCACTCAGCGTCAGTTCTTATAAGTCTTTCCAGGATTTTCTGACATCTGCCTACTCATCAGGAAACAGAATGTTTAGTTAAGAAACAACTCCTGTCTTCATGGAATTTATAGTCTAGAAGGGAAATAAGGGGCAGCTAAGTGGGTCAGTAAATATAATGCCAGGCCTGGATGCAGGCAGACTCATCTTCCTGAGTTCAAATCTGACCTCAGACACTTACTAGCTATGTGACCCTGGGCAAATCACTTCACCCTGTTTGCCTCAGGTTTTTCATCTGTAACATGAGCTGAAGAAGGAAATGGCAAACTGCTCCAGTATCTTTGCCAAGAAAACCCCAAATTGGGTCAGGAAGAGGCAGACACAACAACAATCTGGCCCCTATAGGCATATCAGAAAAAAACTCAGGCTGAGTTGTACCTATCCCTTCAAGGACTGAGGTAAATTCTCATAAAAAGATCTGCTCTTTCCTCAACTTTGCCTCCCTGTGCTGTCCAAAAACAAATACTATAGTATACTCATCTGCCTTTTTTTTACCTAAATATTTGCTATATTTTTGCCTCAAATGTAAAGAGGTAAGGGGTTAGCTAGAGATAAACATAAATTCAGATTAGAGTGGAGAGCCAAATACTTACCTGAATCATGGGAAGTTTTGCTAACTGGGGGCTCAGAGCTATTGTAATTGTACTACTAACTTTTGGCCTGACATAAATTCCATGAAACAGTACAGGAGAGGACCTTGTGAAGCTGAGGACATTGCATTGTCCCTAGGATAAAAAGGTGAATTAACTGTTGCCACAATATCTGGCTGATTAAATCTCTACGTTGTTTTTGTTATTTGTCCTCCATTTTGAAGAGGACCAACGACATCACGGGATAATATCTTGTCTCCCTAGTGAACTGGATTTAAGTGAGGCAGAGTTGCACAAAGTCAACCTCACTATCTCTTCCAGAGTCATCAAAGTCCAATGGCAGGACAAAAGTCAGGACAACTGGAGATGGTCCGAGATGCAGTGGATGACCTTGGTGTCTCTGCTGTCTGACCACGCTGCAAGGGTTCCACAGAGCCTACTTCAGCCGCCTTTCTGACTGTTAGCACTATCTGTTCTCATTTACCCAATCTCCCAGGGGAAAGCTTCATGTACTTGGGTAGATATCCTCTACCTCGCCAACAGGTTTGAGACCTATGGGTTACCCTCAACCTGGCTGGGTCTGTCTGCCTAGACGGTTTTACCAGGGTGTGGCCGTGGTACACGCTACAGCTTCTTGGAGTCGCAGATGAGGGTTGGGTGAAAAGTAGACACCAAAGGTAGATGAGCAGCTCTGAAAAGGGCTCAGCCAGCCCTCACACCAGAGGTGCTAGTCCTCCCTGAACACCCCATACACTCCAGAGAGTGAGGGAGGAAAAGGAAATGACCAGAGAAAAGATCATACCCCTTAAACCATCCCCCAGGGAGAAGATAATAAAGGCCTGGAGAGGAAGCTCAGCCTCTGTCCAACAGGAAGGACCAGCTCTGCCCTCCATAGCTTCACTCATACCCATAGGCACAACTGTTTTGCTTAACTGGGATTTCTGCTCCAGCAGTGTTCTGAATATAACAAGCACGTAATAAGCATGAACTGAATCTAGCCTCACTCATTTTACAGATGAGAAAATAGTGTAGCAGAGAAACAGCCTGCCCAAAGTCACATGGTGAGTTGAGAGATGTTTATCTCAAGTCAAAACATACCAGAAAATCTCCTGCCACTACTCCCATCACACTACAGTATTTAATGGCACTGCCCCAAGGTAGGGAAAATTTAACTGGCGTGAAATGCCCGGCTCTGATATAAAGTCAACACAGATTGGATGATCAAGAGCAGAAAAGTTGATTGTTGAACCTCCAAAACCAGGAATATGCAAAGCATAAAAATTCTATGAAAGATTCCAAATCCGTAGTAAATACAGGTTTTACTTTAATGAATGTGTCTGTCAATTAACTGTAATTCATCCTATTTGTTTCTACAGATTAGAACCGACAATGGGCTTTACTGGAGCCTTAAGAATTGCTAATGATCTTGAGTAAGAATATAAATAGCATGTTTGTTTGTTTTTTTGCTATATTTTGTATCCAGCCTAAAACAGCCCTCACTTCTGCTGCCAACCATACTCCCTACTATCACAGCGGCTCTCTACTTCAGTCCCTCTGTCCCTCTCACCCAGACTATTATGGCAGTCTACTATTTGCTCTCTGTGCTTCAAGTCTCTCTCTCCCGTCTTCATCCTCCTGGCCACTGCCATGATGATCTTCCTTCAACTCAGGGATGACCCTGACAAAGCCCTGTGCAAGGACTCTGCATTGTTCTCTATCGGCTCTGAAACAAAATACAAATTCCTTAGTTTGGCACTTAAAGCCCTTCACCATCTGGCTTCAGCCTTCCTTTCCCATTTTACTTTACTTAATTTTCCCCTCCCACACCTTGCATTCCAAACAAACTGACCCATTTGCTGTTCCCCAAACTCCATCCCCTGCCTCCACACCTTCTCCACTGTCCTGGCATGCTGTCCCTGGCTTTCCTCAGGCATCACCTCCTTTGAGGTGACATACTGGATCCCCCCAATTGGTAATGTCCCCTCCGGCTTCAAAGAATATTCTATAATCCTGCCTTGGATTCCTCCTGTAGAATGGAAGCTCTTTGAGGGCAGGAACCATTGCATTCTATATTTAATGTATTTTGATGTATTTCTATCCTCAGTGCCTCATACATAATAATAAATGCTTGTCGAATTGGATCAAATCATCAAAACCAACACAAGTGGTGGGTTGATTTTTGCCGCTATCCCTTCTGGAGTAACAAATACAGGGAAGGCCATTTCAGCCAATGTGATGGCAGTGGAAATTTGCTATAAATCATATACATCAAAGAAGTCTGGTCTTATTAGGGCTGAGCTGAAGAGGCATATGAGATCCATTATTGAAGACAATTGAATAATTTATCACAGCTTCATAATAAAGATCAGCTGGTATCTATGATGATGGATGGAAATGTTCAGGAAGAACTTCGTGCTCCAAGAGAACTGGAAAGCAACAGAGAAACTGG